TGGCCTGTGGACTATGATTTCCTTTTCAGCTGGATCCGATCTCCAGCACCTTCCCTCCCCAGAGGACAGAGCCCAGCCCTTCCTGGGCTGCCCAAGAAGCCAGCCTGGGTTGTTTTTTGAGGGATAGAAGCTTGTGTTCTGTAAAGGGGAGAAGCTTTCAGCTGTGGATACAGTTAATGTTTACATTCTTAAAAACTATTACAGAGCAAGATATATCACCATTAGCTCCCCCCGGAACCCTCCCCCTTGCCACCAACACACTTATGGTGCCACTCTGAAGCAGCTTGGGAAGCCTTCTTTTGCGTCTTTCTGAGGAGTAACTAAAAGTGCAGAGAAAGCTGCTGCCCAGCGGGGTCCAACCAATAGTCAGGCTCATAAAATCCTTCTGGTGCATCTTCTTCCACCTCATTCACTGAACCCAGCCCTGCGCAACTTCTGCCTCTTCTCTGATGTCAAAGTGACCACAAAAGCCAAATGTTTTGAATAGATTCAGTACATTTGGGTCATCAAGGCAGCCACAGCAGTTCAGCTAAAGATGCAAGACAGGGCTTCCAGAACTGCTTCAGGAAGTGGCAAGAATGATGGATAGATGTGTTCAGAGCAAGGCAGAGCTGTGAGGGAGGCTTAGCAGCAATGGGTCTTACCACAAGAGCTGGGGAGGTAGCTCAGTGGTCTACGTGCCTGCCTGGCAAGCGCAAGGACCCAGGTCCGATCCTCGGTACTGCATGCTGAGCCAGCCACCGCAACCGAGTGTGGTGGCACAGGCCTGTAATCCCAACACTGGGGCAGCTGAGATGGGAGGATCACTATGAGTCCCAGCTGCGTAACAAGACTCTGTGCCAGATTTGATTTGAAACTGTCTCACTGCTATCTGTTTATCAATAAAACTTTGGAAAAAAAAAAAAGACTCTGTGCCAAATAAATAAATAAATAAATTTTAAAACAATTGAACAAGTTAAATATTCACCATACATTTTGATCACACCTTGCAAGATAGACTCGGGAAATATGAGACACCCGAGAGCCATGTCCTATTCAGGACAGAGCCACCTCCTCGTGTTCCCAGATCCCTGCTCAGTCACTCTGCAAAAGTCTGTGGAGTCTCCTCATCAGGCAGCTGAGGTAGGCCTGGGGCTGAGCACCACAGTACACGGCACCCCTGAGGAGCTCCCAGCCCAGGCAGAGGCAGATAGAGCCGAGCCCTGCCATTACAGTACGGAGTGGGAAATGCCACCCGGTGGCAGGACAGCGCTGGCAAGGCAGCGACAGGCTCCGGGCTCACACTCACTCTCAGGGCCAGGCTTGCTCACCCCCGCTGTTCCATCTGTTGCTTTGTTTTCGTAATCTTTATTTCTGGCTTTGTTTTCCCTTTACTTTCCTAATAGCAGCCTTTTGGAAAAATTCCATCCTTGTTTCAGTTGGACTAAGGAAAAAGGGAATTGTCCACTCTTCAGCCAGAATAGCCAAGGGGTGCTGGGTTCCTACAGCGTTCAGGTGGGGAAGCAGAGGAGGCCAAGGAAGAATTTGCAGCCCTAGGGAAGGAGAGGAGAAAACATGGGAGTGGGGGTGGGGGGTGAGTGGGGCTGTGCTGGGGGGTGGTTCTGGCTCTTCTCCTGTCCCCTGCCTCTGCTCTGAAGGGAGGGGAGAATCCAGAACCCCCTCTACCTCAGAGAACCTGGAAGGCCAGGTTTCCTTGTTCTTTCTACTCTTGGGGAGCCTTGAAGGGTCCCAGAACCCTGCTCTTAGAAGCCAGCCTCTACGTCATCCAGGGCACAAGGCTCAGGGAGTGCACATGAAATGCCCCGGGTCCCTCTCGCTTCTTCAGGCCCACGCACACAACTCCTGTGGCCCCCACCCCCACCCCCACCCTTGTTCTGGAACTATGTTCGTTTGTTCAACAAAAGTTTATGGAATACTCACTGTGTCTCAGAACCTGGAGCGACATGAATGGAAAAAGATACCCATCTCCAAAGCTTACAGAGGCAATGTGAGCGTAAGCCGCAGGCTAAGGAAGCAGGAAGAAGAATGTTTAGAACACTTGAACTGGGCTGTCAGATAGTTCGCACCCAGTGCTGCCATTTACCAGCTGTGTGATCGTGACTGAACTGCGTAACTTCTCTGTGCCTTTGTCTCTTAGCTCTGAAACAGAGATGATCACAAAGTTGGTTTGTTATTTTTTGAAACAGGGTCTTAAATCACATGTCAGGCTGGCCTTTAACACACTATGTAGGCTTGATTGGCCTGGAACTCATGGTGAGCCTCCTTCCTCAGCCTCCCGAATGCTGAGATCATAGGTGAGCACCACCACACACACATCCGGCTGTGACACTCACACTTTTTAACCCAAGGGCTGTTGTGAAAGGAGTGAGCGTGTGCAGGGTGTGTAAGATAGAAGCTGGCACAAAGCAGGCCTTTGAGAAGTCCTGTCAGCAGTTACTACTTCCGCATACCTTGCTAAGAGCGCCTGTAAATGACCCATTCTCCACCTCTGTCTCTTGCTCAACCTCAGTGACGCAGAGGCAGCCACCTGGTGCTAACCACCTACTCCCCACCCCAATCTCCAGCTCTCAGCCAGAAAACCTTGGCTAGGCAGACTGCTGTCATCTCCTGCCTCCGAAGGTTCAGGTCCCACTGCTGGGGTGCTGGGGTGGGAGGGAGCAGCAACATCCCACAGTCCCTGGCTTCCCTTCAGACCTGTGTGGGCTCCTGCAGATCTCTCTGGCAGCTGGGATGGAGACCAACCATAGGGAGCATCTGGGCTGGGCCCACCTACCCGCCCCCTGGGACTGGAGGGCTGAGGGGATTCCAGCTCAGAGGAATCCCAGCATGGCATTACAGAGTGGGTAGCAGCTGGCACCAATCCTGGGTACGGACATGGCGGGGCCCCATGGAGGTCAGGGCTGGGTCACACTGAGGTTCCAGTGCATTGTGCCACCCTCCCTTGGCTTGGGGGGGTCACTTAAGAACTTGGGGAGGAGTGTGGGCCCAGCCAGGACAAGGGGGTGGGGTCAGAGAACACATGTACACATGCGCATGCAAGTGGACCCACATGTGCAGGCATCTGGCCCTCGGGAGGAAAGGAAGAAGGTGGTGTCTCTGTGTGTGTGTGTGTGTGTGTGTGTGTGTGTGTGTGTGTGTGTGTGATGGCTTTGTGGCTCTGTGAATGTGCTTAGGGGTGCGTGATGTCTGCCTGTTTATCTTCTCCACACACCTTTGATTCCGTAGGGCTCTGCATGGGCTGATGTCCAGGTGAGCGGGAGGTTTTTATCTTTTTTTAAAAATCCCATCCTTCACTCGAGTCTTTTAGCAAAACACCAGAAAATTTTCTCTTTGGGAGGGTGTGAAAAGTTGATCAGTGTTGTGGGGTCAAGGCTCTGTGAGTGCCACAGACAGAGTGCTCTTGTGTGTGATCCTTAGCTCACCACGAGGCTGGGTCTGTACACCTTTGAGGGGAGGACTGAGCACTGCTTGTGGGTCTGTGTCACTCCATCTTAGTGACTGGAGTAGCGGTCACTTGGTCTCCATAGCAGTATCTTCCCACAGCTTGGTGGTGTGTACTTGTGTGTCGGGGTCATATTCGCCTTTGGCTCTAGTGGTCTGCCTTTTAAAAGTCATGTAACAGGTGAGCCAATCCTATGCAAGGGTGTTGACACTAATTCATAAACCCTGGACAAGTGCCTCAGCTTCTTTGTGCCTCCCGTTTTCTCACGGGGATAATAACAGCACACAACTCACCAGGTTCCGGTGAGGATTCAATGAGATCACCTTACGCACCTGGCACAGGTCGGAACACTGTAACGGTCCTGTCTGTGAATGAGGGCCGTCTCCTCCACGCTGACTGCGGTGGGTGCCATCTCAGGCAGATTATAGACTGCCTGGGGGCAGTGTGTGGGTCTTGATTGTCTCTAACAATGCGCAGGACACCTCAGAGCTTGGTACAGATGTCACCGGAGGTGAAATGAATTAAATAAGCATGTGAAACGAGTCTGGTGTCTGACGCATGCCCACACCTGGTAGTACATGGTGTGGGTGGAGGCTGGTGGGGCGGTTGTGACAACACAGCCCAGCGCGGCGCCCGGCTCCTCAAGGGCACTGTTGCACCTGTCCCTCTCTGGGCCTCAGTTTTCCACCTTGTCCCCGAGATCTGGTCTGAGGCTGATGAAAGGCTCTCTTCCTCCTTTCTCTGCTCGGTGGTCGCAGGGCACCAGCCTAGGTGCTGGGGAGCCTGCGTTTTCTCATGGGTGGTGTGAGTAGACACAAGAGTGTCCTTCGGTGAACACACCATGTCCCCTCCACCCCGTGCAGCATGAGTGCCCACTACCCTGCTGCGTGTGCGCGTGACGCCCTTCTGCGCTGAGCTCCTCTCGGTGACAGTGGGTACATGCGGCTGTGAATGTGACGCACCTCGTGCCTGGCATCTGCTCTCCTCCCCCAGCCTCCGTGGTTACATAAGTGGCACAGGGCTGAGTCGATCTTGGACCACGGGCGCCCTCTGCTGGCCACCTTCGTAAACCAGTTTCGGGAGGGGCTCTGTAAAGAAGCTTGGTCTTCCGCTCTCCTTCTACCTCAACACGGGCCCTCCATCCCTATCTGCCCCCAGTTCCTTCCCAGCCCCAAGACACAGGGTAGGGGTGGTACCTTAACCCCCAGAAAAACTCTTTCCTAATGCTGGTGCCTCGGACTGGTCATGTGGCACATTTACCAAGCACAGTGATGATATTCCCAGAGGGAAGGGACATGGCCGCCTTGTTTACCAGGACACGGCCAGTACCCAAAGCCTGGGTCAGCCAGTATTTGTTACTGAATGAGCTTACAGGGTAGGGAGGCTTGGAAGGAGAGCTGGTGGTGTGTAGGCAGATCTGGAGACACCTCAGCCAATGAAAAGCTGTGTGGCCTTGGGCAAGATACTTAACCCTTCTGAACCTCAGATTTGTCTGCTGTCGAATGACATCATCTTGTAAAATAGGTAGTGAAGACTGGAAACAATACCCAAGAGGACCTTCTTGTGTGAGCATTCCATAAATGGCATCCATTGCAATTATGACTCTAACACCTCTTAAATCTTAAGGATGGGGAAGGTGTTAAATCCAAGCATCTAAAGGGAAAGTGGTTTTCCTTGGAAGCCTCCCTGTAGCTTCCGTTTTTCACATAGCTCTGCAAGGCCTGAAAAGTTTGGAGAGAGACATGGATCTGGAGAAATCAGGCTGTGGATAGGTCCAAGTGGGGAGAAACAGCAACTGCTCTTCCCCGTCCTGGAGGCCAGGGTCGAAAACTCTGATTCCCTCAAGGCCCCACACAATCCTATCAGTCTCTCTGGCTTCTCTAGGGTGGCTGGCTGTAGCGTCCCTGGTGACTCCATGGTGACACCTCTGAGGGAGACACAGCGCCAGATCTGGGGACAGCAAGAGAAGGTTGGGGGCTTTGAACTGTGCCTATTCCCCTATCTTGGCCTCAGCTTCCTCCTCTGTACAAGGCAGGTGGGAGTGGGAAGCGCCCGCAGGTGAAGGGTGCTGGCTAAGTCCTGCACTGGCCTCCCACCAAAGGCACTGGGAAAGACCGGCTGTCCCTTTACCCCATCCTGGCCTGTCTTCCCTCTGTCCATCCCAATCTCTGCCTTCAAAGTTAAGAGAAATAGGGCAAGCCCAGCTTTCCCAACACAGTCCTATGGCCACGAGATTCCTTCCCCTAACCCACAGGTCTAAACTAAAACCAAACTTCCTACGAAGCAGTTAAAAATAATCCAAACAAACCTCATCTCCTTTGTCGTGTCTGCTGCCCTGTGTCAAACATTTATGTACATAATATCAATTTTCGCAAATCCCTTTGGGTAACCGGCAACAAGCTCAGGGAATCTATGGAGGAGGAAGGTTAGGATAGGAGCCCGGATCCTCCAACCAGGAAGTGAGTCCTCGCCCTTTTTCCTTTGGGTTTGACCTGGGAGCAGGGTGCAAACGTCTCCCGTGACCCCAAGGGCCGGGGCTGGGAAGGGCCTAGCCCCTAACTACCCAGCTTTGGGAACTCCTGGGTCCCCTTCTTATTATACCTTAGGGTTTCCAGTAGAACAATATCCTTAGGGTTTCGATCCTGCCTGGGTTCCCAGTGCGTGGCTGTCTCCTGACCGCCCCGGGCGCCCGCACCCACCTCTCCCGCGGCACGTGCGGGTCCCAGTACGCTGCGCCCGAGGCGGGCGGGATCTGGGAGCAGAGGCCCCGCCGCTTTCTCAGCCAGCGGCGGAGGCGGAGCTCGCGGGGTCCGTCCGGCCCCGGCGGGGACTCGGGGCGGAGCCTGGGTTGGCTGGAGGCCGGCGCGCCGGAGTCTGGCCGCGGCTTGGGCGGGGCCCGGAGTCGGGGCGCGGCGGGAATGGTCCCTCGAGCCGCGGAGGGCGGGAGGGAGAGGGGCGGGAGGAGAAGAGGAGGAGGGGACCTGGCCTCTCTTTATCGGCTCCCCTCGGCTTCGCGCACCCACGCCTCGCCGCTCCGCTTCCTGCCCCCACCCGGGGATGCGCCCCCCCCGCCCTGGGCCCCCTAGAGCCCGCGCCACCGCTGGAAGCCTCCCCAGAGCCCACCACGCAGGATGGGCGCCTCCGGCCCCGCGCCGCTGTCGCTGCTGCTAATGCTGGGTAAGCCGGGTCCCGCCCAGTCTCCGAGTCCACCCGTGGGCAGGTGCCGGCGGTCCTCCAGGGCGCCCCCGCCGCCGCCCGCAGGTGTGTCTTCCGTCTGACGGGCTTCGCGCCTGTTTCCCTCTGTGGCACCCGCAGAGCCAGTCTCTGGGAGAGTGGGGGCTCCCCAGCTCAATGCTGGGCAATGGGGCGGTGGGGGAAATCCCCTCCCCCAGTGCGCCTCAAGCCCGCCAGGCCCCGCTTCTCAGCAGGCCGACCCGGGTCGCACCCTGATACTCCAGGCCTGGTCTTGGGTGTCTGTCCTGCGTGGGCAGTGCCCGCGGGTCCTCGTAAGTGCCCCAGAGTTGGCTGCAGGCCCAGGGACTGGTTCTGCCCACGATCTTTGAAGTAAGTCTTCCTAATTGCACCCCACACACTTCATCTGAGACTCCCTCCTTCCACCGCAGCTCCAGCCCGGGCCAAGCTCCGGTTTGCCCTTTTGCCCCCTCCCAGAAGGCACTTGGTGGGTTGTCACAGCCCGTTAGTTGCAGCCTTCTTGCTTTAAGAGAAGCCAGGCTCTAAAGACCCAGACCGAGATCTCCAAGCACCTGGTGCCTGCCCTGGTGGATGTTTATGGTGGAGTCTTCTGGCCAGCTTTGCGTGGGTGGGGGAGGGTGGTGACGTGAGAATTGGTTTGGGCTTAAACGGGAGGGCTTCCCCTAGGAAGTGGTTTGGGGAAGTGTGGCACAGAGATACTGCCTTCGGTGTCTAGACCAGAGCTCCATAGTGGGCCCAAGTCGACTCTTCTCTTCCACAGGTCCCTGGGCCCTGGTGGCCACAGTGAATCCTTGGGGCCCTGGTTGGGAAGCAGATGGTTGAATGTGGAGGGAAGAGCTGTGGGGCCTGGTTGCTTAGTACTTGCTGCTTTTCCCCAGTGGGCTTTGTGGAGTGGAGAGGAGCCCAGGGGAAAGAGAAGGTTGGAGTACAGAGAGAGAGAGAGAGAGAGAGAGAGAGAGAGAGAGAGAGAGAGAGAGGAAGAGGCTGCCTCTGTCTATGCCTCTTCTATCTGCAGCCCAGACATTTCTTTCAGAAGGGGCAAATGGTGTCCCCCACCGGAGAGAGCACATCTGAGTGAGTGTTGGGGCTGGGATTTGATCCCAGACCTGACCCAGAGCCGGCCTCTTTGCTCCCATGACTTGGTGCTCCTGGCTGGGAGGAAGAGCTGAGAGGCAGCTGATCTCCTAAGGCTGTGGGGGTGACTTTCCCATGGGGATCTCCAACCATCAGCAGTGGCAGAGCCAGGAGGGTAGGAGGGAGGTTTCCTTGCAGAGTCTGCCCCCAGGCAGCCAGGAAGATGTCATCTTGACTGCCTGTCTTCACCCCAGTTATGAAACAAATGTGCCTGGGGCAAGGCCCTCCTGAGTCACATGCCCCTTCCTGCACTGGGGCTCAACCCAACGGCCTGACTTCCCACCTGTGCCCCAACCCACCAACCAAGAGTTCACGTGGAGACAGCTGGAGGAAGAGAGGAGCTGAGAGCTGGGGGTCAGGGGCGCAGACTCCTAGGTGCTTTCCTCTGGCTCTGTGGAAGGGCCTTGGATATTTCCCTGGGAGCTTGTGGGTGATGCTGGTTGGTGAGGTCCACCCCTGAGAGCTCATCGTGGAGTCTCTCCCTCTTCCTACCTGCAGGATGGTGGAGGCCTCACAGGGACACAGGATCTTGGCCCAGACATTATAGTTCACTGGTATTACTTTTGCCATCTGTAGGATGGGAGGAGGAGACTGACAACCCCTTATATTCTGGGGTTCTGTGATTCTTCTAGTGGGAGCCATGGAAAGATGGAGGAGGGAAGGAAGAAGCTGAGTGCCCTAAGACTGCCAGGACTAGGCTGGGGTGGAGTGAGGGGAGCTGAAGAGGAGACTGAGATGGCACAGGGGCAGTTGGAGCCTCATTGCTACCCCAGAGAAAGGGAGGGCAGTATGTAAATGTGCAGATCATATGCAAATGAAGGCTTTGTTTGGGAGGGGAGCTGCGTGTATCAGCTGGGCTGGCCAGAAGGTTGTCGGCAGTGGGGGGAGGGGATCTTCTGCCCCAGGCCTGGGCAGAGCCTGGGTCTTGCCCCAGAAGGCCAGCTGCCTTGGCAGCCCTGTGGGACTGAGAAGCAGTGAGCTCATAGCACAGCTGGAGGGGGAGGGCAGTGTGTGGTGAGAACTAATGGGCCTGTGCCCTGTCCGGAGGCGCAGGCCCCTGGCTCCATTGTCTGGCCCAGGTGACACAGCTGAGCCAACAGGTCCCTCAGAGTGGGAAGGATGTCAAGGAGATAAGGTCAGGCTGGAGCCAGGAAGCAGAGACCTACAGTTCTGTTGGGGTGCTGTCTGGCCGGCTAGAAATGGGATGTTCCTGGGTTTTGAAACAAAGCTGGGCCTATATCACTTTTTGAGCCCCAGATCCATCTCATCCCTGCATCCCTTCCCTGTTCTCAGAACAGGGCCAGCTGTGTGCCAGCCTTCCCTAGGTTGCTTTTCTGTTCACCAGCAGGGGTCAAGATTGGTGCTGGTGGAGCTGGGCACAGTCAGGGACTCAGGCACCACCAACTCCTTTTCCCCACAGGAATCGGGTGCTGTGCCCGGGAGGTGCTGGTCCCTAAGGGGCCTCTGTACCGTGTGGCTGGCACCACTATCTTCATCCCCTGCAACGTCAGCGGCTACGAGGGCCCTGCCCAGCAAGACTTTGAGTGGTTCCTATACCGGTCTGAGGCCCCAGAGGTCGCACTGAGCATAATCAGCACAAGAGATCCCCAGTTCTCCTATGCCATGTTTGCACCCCGCGTGGCGGCTGGTGAGGTACAGGTGCAGCGTCTCCAGGGCGATGCTGTGCTGCTTAGGATTGCCCACCTGCAAGCCCAGGATGCAGGTGTTTATGAGTGTTACACTCCCTCCACTGATACCCGCTACTTCGGCAGCTATAGCGGCAAAGTGGAGCTGAGAGGTACGGGACCCTGGGCTGGGCTGGGCCACTGCTGCTGTCAGGGCAGAAAAATCAGGGTAGACAGTGGTCTGACTACTGTTAGGTTTTGCATTTGGGGAAGTTTAGGTCTCCAGTCTTGCTCCAAAGTCCCCTGATGAATCAGTGGCTGGTGGGAGACCAAATCTAGTTGTCTTCCTTGCAGTCACTGTTGCTTGGCTATTGGGCTATCTCCTGGGAGAAGGGGAAGTGTCCCCAGGCTGGTCAGCGCCCCCCCCCCCATTCCCCAGAGGATGGGGAAGGCTGGTGGTTTGAACAGACTATTCTGGGAGGACAGGACATGGCAGTAGGGTGGGGAGAGTAGAGGGAGGGTAGAAGTTAGATTCTTCTGAGAAGGAAGACAGCTGCTTTTCTGAGTGTCAGTTAAGAACCAGTGTCAAAAAAAGAGTGAAGGGTGATGGGCTGGTTTTTGCAATTCAACAAGTATGTATTGAGCACCTGGCTGTGCCGAGCCTGCTAGCACTGCTGGCTTCCAGAAGAAATGGCACAACTGCAGCCTTTGCCCTCGAGAAGCTCAGTCTGTCTTGGGAAACAGTAGCAGTAGCAGGCCGCCAGCTCCCAGCGCTCCCTCATTTCTGCTGCCCTCTCCAGTTCTTCCAGATACACTGCAGGTGTCACCTGCCCCCCCAGGGCCCCGAGGCCGCCAGGCCCCAACCTCGCCCCCACGCCTGGCAGTGTATGAGGGGCAGGAGCTGGCCCTGGGCTGCCTGGCACGGACAAGCACACAGGAGCACACACACCTGGCTGTGTCCTTTGGGCGAGCTGTGCCTGAAGCGCCAGTGGGCCGAGCAACTCTACAGGAAGTGGTGGGGCTGCGGTCTGACCTGGCTGTGGAGGCCGGGGTTCCCTATGCTGAGCGACTGACTGCTGGGGAGCTGTATCTGAGCAAGGGAGGAGCCGATCGCTACCGCATGGTGGTAGGAGGCACCCAGGCAGGAGATGCAGGCACCTACCACTGTACTGCTGCGGAGTGGATTCAGGATCCTGACGGCAGCTGGGCCCAGATTGCAGAGAAAAGAGCTGTCCTGGCCCAAGTGGATGTGCAGATGCTGTGTGAGTGCCACTCATCCTGCTGGGGAACTGGTAGCGGGTGTCTCAGTGGGCCCGTGGCCACCCACCAGGGGCCCTAGGTAGGCTCCAGGGACTCCATTTCCATAGAGTGAGCGGCCCCAGGGGACCACTTCCCTCTCTACCTGCCCCCATGACCAGTTTTCCTGACCTAGAAACTGGGAGCGGAGAGAGGAAAGCCGCGGCTGCAGGGTGTGATTCAGGGCCGAGTTAGGGAGAGGGTCATGTACACAGGGGCCGCAGGAGTCTGAACCACAGCCAGCATGAGGGAGTTGCTGGTGAGGAACCAGGTGCCTCTGCGCCTTTGTGCCATTGTCCCCTTCCCCTCCTGTGTTTCAGCCAGCCAGCTGGCAGTGACGGTGGGCCCTGGTGAGCGCCGGATCGGCCCAGGGGAACCCTTGGAACTGCTGTGCAATGTGTCTGGGGCACTGCCCCCACAGGGCCGCCACGCTGCATACTCTGTGGGTTGGGAGATGGCACCTGCAGGGGCCCCTGGGCCTGGCCACCTGGTAGCCCAGTTGGACACAGAAGGGGTGGGTAGCCTGGGCCCTGGCTATGAGGGCCGGCAC